ACCACAACTTAGATGGAATTGTATTGTATTATTTACATCCAAACGAAGCTTACTCGTATACAGCAAAAGATAAAACCACCCTGTTTTTAGTGAAGTTTTATGGACCAAGAGAAAGGTATAACTTCTGGGAACATTCCCTCCGAACCATCCCATCGAAAGGTTTATACTTCCGGCGTAAAGGCTCGGGCAGCAATTTTTATCTTTTTGCAGCTAATTTTAGGAATTACACATTCGTTGAAAGGCTCAATACTATTTTTTACAAATACACCGGATTTAAGAAGGTTATATTTAGCTGTTTTCATTTTTACAACTTTAAGACTTCAATATCTGTAAAGATGTTTATACATATATGGTAAAAATGTTACTTCAACCGACTAAAAATCTTATTTGAAGGGAATGCTAAATAATTTACCTCTCTGATGACTTGTTTAGTGTAAAAGGAATCTGGGTCTCAATGGTTATTATGGTAACATTGGCATATATATGGGTTATCGTGTCGTTTGCAGCATCTTATGCATTAATATACAACAAGCGACATTACCTCATTCCTCAGATCATTTTTTTGGTTAGCTACTTTTTTTTGTTTGCCTTTCCATTCATAACACTTATATTGAAAAATTTAGTCAGGTAAAAGTAGGCAAATTTGCAAAGTATAAACTCTTGGAAACTATTCGAAAAGAAGTTAAAACCCTTGCAAAGTATTTTTCGCATGATGATCTTCCCCTAAAAAAACACCTGATAAGCTGCAAAAAAAGTAATTTGAAGAATCTCCTATTTGTAAACGGTTAAACTGGTTGAAAGTCCTTTTAATTCTGCACAATCTTCAGAACTGCATGGTCCAATAATGACCGTAATAGTATTGATAACAGTTTGCATAAGTGAACTTTAAATGGATAGTAAGAATAAATGTATACAAAAAGACTCTAGACTTTCTCGGCTTCAAAAGTTCAATTCATGTTTAAAAAAGGTTACACTGTCAAAAAGTTCCAAAATTTTTCCGCTTTGGTAGTCGTATCTGAGCAGGAAGCTCAAACAAGTTAAGTTATCGAAAATCTGTCGGAGGTATCACGACTCGGTTGGGTATAAACGAAGAAGCAAGTATACAGACTAAAAATTGAGTGATCCCTAGCATCAATTTTCTTATAACTCCACTGGCAAATTATGGAATATTCTAGATAGTTACACACTTCTATTTCAGGTGCCTTACCTGGCGTTTTACCTGTTTCTTCTTGCGATCACTTACAGGACCGGGACTGTACTGGAACTACTTCTACTTTTGACAACAACCATGGTAATACTTTTGTCGATTCCGTTCGAACTGCGCTACTACACCTCGCTGAAAGCTCATCCACAAGTCGAATTATTTTTACCTTTAAACGCGAAATGAGATAAATACGAACCACTCCTGTTGATGTAACTTTAAATTTGGCGGATTAAAATAGCCAAATGTATCCAACTGATTAATTTGCAACAACTGGTCATTCAAATTTACTGAGATTTTATAAGACTTCAAAACAATAAAAAGGATTATCGCTTGTAAAACATTCCAGCAAACTGTTTTATTGAAATACAATAGAGATTAGTCAATTTCGAAAAAACGAAAATCAGTATAGTAGCAAACATCTTTAAAAGTTATGTGTGAAATCAGTTGTCCTTACCTTTTTGCATCTCATAAGTAGCAAAAAGGACCCCCGACAAATAAGAAGCTTATTAAACTATAGACAGATCAAGTAGAAACAAAAAAGCTCAAAGATATTTGGAAGACGCGAATGTTTACAATAGGTGAAAAAACTGCATAAACAGGAAAAATGCTCTTCAGCAATGGCACAAAGCAATACTTATCAAAAAAAGAAACTAATATGTACCAAACCTCATCAACCCAATGATTCTTCCAAATTTTCTCAGCAAGTAAAAATAAATAAGGTTTGAATACAGAAAATTCATTTCACTACAAAGTAAATAATAATAATGTAGCTCATTGTATGCCGTCAATTATGAAGGTACTATAAAATTATGCAGTACAACCTTATAGAAGTGAGATGGATCAGTCATAAAACCTAGAATGCGAGCGCACAAAGAATGAACAACTAAAAAATAATGTAAATAAATAACACTAAGTGAAAAAAAATTAAATAGGCTGTAAAAGCATAACGTAAATACAATTTTAATGATCGTCTTCGATGAGGCAAAAAATGAATAAACCGTTTAAACCGCAAAAAATCTGCAAATTTCGGCTTATCAGTCACTGAAGACTTGGTCTCGTCATATCCATGCATAATATGCAGTTTCTCCATCTCAATTTTCTGCTAAAAAAAGTTCTGCACTGTTTTTATTTAAAACTGAGCAGTAAACAGCCATAAAAAGATTATATTATAATTAGAATAGACCAGGAATAAAACTAAAACTGGTTGTGCCTATTTAATAATCTTAGCCGTTCTCTGTAACGCGATTTTTATTGAAAAAAATGAAAAATACTTATTCGAGTTCAAAAATAATGTAGAATTAAAAAAGAAAGAGAGAAATTACTGCGTCTCCTGAAAGCATATAAGTGTTTCCGGTGCACCTTGATGAATCCTCTCTTGGTTCAATGTTATTTGTGACGCCAACAGCACATGACAAACATTGTTCAGGTATTGAAGCATTTTCCTGAAAAAATACGTTCATCAAATTGATTATTGGTATAGGAACTAATACAACCTTAAAAGTTTCATAAAAACGATAACTTGTTTTTATAAAAAGTCTTACAGTATGTACAAATAAAGCAGTCATTCCAAAAAAAAAGCAAAAAATTTTGGAAGTGTTGAAACTAACTCGAGTTTTTAAGCATCCACACTCCTTCTGAAGTCGTAAATTCGCTTCTCTTGTCGCCGTAACCTCCGCATTCAGCTAATTTCAGGAACATTTAGAAGAGAAGTTAATAAAAAAAGCAAGTTAAGGAGGCATATTTAGTAAATTTCCAACTACCGCCTTTAAAAAAATTCCTCTTAGTATTACTAACGGTTTAATAGGCGAACAATGCAAGTGAAAAATCAGAAGTGAAGAATGAATAGAATGCAATTTTTCTGAACTTTCAGCAGTCAATAAAAAAAATAAATACAGAAAAAACCTAGCTAGCACAACTTCATTCAAAACTAAGTTTTTTCTATCCTGAATGAGATCTTTCTAAGAAAAAAATGGTCCGCAAAAATCACTTTAAAAACATTTCTAAATCAAAACACAAGTGAAAATTTATGAGTATTACCTCTTCTACGCGGCTATTTAGTTCTTTTACAAGATTTTCCCTTTCAACCAACTTCATAACGTTTGCATTAAATGACTCATTAAGCTGCCGTACTCTGGCTTGCATTTTTGCGTTCAGAGCTTCAGCGTCGTTTATCCGATTTGACAGATGATCCCTGGCATCAGCCAACTGCCGCTTTTCATCAAGCAGTTCGTTTAACTGAAGAAAACCACCAAATTAAAGCTAAAATTTTAAGGATATCTAGCATCTAGCACTGTAATTAAGGCAACCTTCTGGTAAAGCAGCTGTTTTTCCTCTTTAATTTCACCAATTGCAATTTCTAGATTTTGGACTTCCCCATTAGCTCTCACAAGCGCCTCATTTTCTTGGCCTATCTCTTCAAATCTTCTGCGCCATTCATCAGAACTTTTTTCCAGCTCTACTATGCGTTCCTCATTCATACGAATAGTATCATCAGCAATCTATAGAGAGTGACATTAAAAAGCTACATAATTGACAATTAAAAAAATCATAAAATATTTAACCGAGAGTTTCGTTTCTGCTATTCGAAGTTCGTCGTACAGTTGCTCCCTCATCTCCCGGCTGCTTTGTTCTACCTCAGATAAACGCTCTTGCAACGCAACAACACGACGCCCATCATCACTCTGGTTTTCAACAAAGGCCCTCGCAGCTTCAAACCGAGCCAATTCCGCCAACAAACTTCAAGAAAAGAGTAGACTCAACTTTTTATACTGGGAAAAGTTGGTAACCCCTTATTTTCAGAACAAGCGGAAATACACTGTTCACAATAAACGTCATGAACAACCATGTTCTTACGAATTGTTGGTAATAAATAATTGATCAATAAAATTTACAAAAACCCATGAATATTTCGTACTTGTTGTTCTGTTGTGTCACATTCTTCAGTTTACTCTCCAAAATCTGCTGTGACTTTGCTTTATAGTTCAATTCTCTTAAATAATACTCTAATTGGTCATGTGCAAGCCTTAGCTCCTAAAATAAGTGATTTACTTGCTTAGTAATTTCGTAAAATCTTATTAGTCAGTTATCAGACAGACAAAAACCTTTCAGGTGATCAAAGTAAAACAATGAAAACGTCAAGAAAAAAAGTTAGTGACAAAAATAAGTATTTAATGATAAAGTGTAATATTAAACTTCAAAGAAAACAAGAAATATTTAAAAATCAAGGCAGAATAAACATAGTTTAACTCTAGAAAAAGAACACTCCAAACTTCAACCATTCTATAAGTACAAAACTTTTTTAATTTCTTATCACAAAATTTACATAATTTTAAACTGTAGACAAAAAAGCTTCGGTCTTTCTTCGAGTAACAGTGCGAGCTCAGCACAGTTATTGGAACCAGCCAATAATCTTAAGGACCAAATAGATCATTATCTTTGAGTCACCTCAACCTCGACCAACCAAACAAACACCTCCACGTATTTTTAAAACAGTTAGCTCAATAATTTAGAGACGTAAAGATTTTCGATATATATGTGGCTTCTAATAAACTATTACTCTGTCAATTTTAACCCTTTACAAATAATGAAAGAAAAGTGAAGAACATGAAAACATCTTTGTAAAGTCATATGAAAATATATCGAGAAAAATAAAAAAAAAGTCATATGAAAAAGCAACAGGTCCCATCAAAAGCCAATGCTCATCCCTAATATCTTCGTATTTATTCACTTAGCAAGTATCAGCCACAAACAGACCCTTGGTCAAGCCTGTTAATAGCAAGAAAAATAACAGACCTCAAAGTACAAATTAAGGAGTAGGGCAGTAATCAGCTTTGCCTCAAAAAAAAAAAAATGAGGTAAATTTAAAGCGACTAAAGGTAACTAAAAAACAAGTCGTACCTCTTCAAGTCGAATGTTGTCTTTTTGCAAGTACAATATAACCTCATCTCGTTGGTCTTCTCCATTCCTTGTGCTAATAGTAGGAAGGATGCTCTCGTCTACTTCTTCATCCCTTCCTGTATGCGGCAGTGCCGTTGACGACGCCTAATTACGTGTACTAACAAGAAAAAAATTTCCAGAATTAAATAAAGCTTTATGTTTAAAGACAATTTATTCAGCTAACATCAGGATCCTACCTCGTTAGAAATGACATCTTCCCTTCCTAACTCCATGGACAAATCTACCAGTTAGAACCGAAAAGATCCATAGCATTATTTTAAAAAATCAGCTCAAATATTTTCCGGAAGGAAATTACAAAAAAAGTGTAGTTGTAGCTGACTTAATTACTTGTTGTAAAGCTTCAACAAGGAACTGGTTGAATCATCTGGAACAACTAAAAAAAAGTATATATAACTATTTCCATAACTTGCATCATTTTTTATTTCGAGCATGTGAGCGGCAATTGTTCAACCAAAGAAGAGATAAAAATTCAAAACTACTTGTCAAATAACAGATAACGAATCAACAGGCATATCACCACAGATTTCTCCTAACGATCTGGCATTCCAGTATAAGTTAATAAAAAAAGCAAAGTAACAGACGCAAAAACAGCTTATTTCTAGCATCCGTATGCGTTAGCCTCTGATTAAAACTACACAGCTGCAATAATTAAACTACTTCTTACCTCTGTCCCACCATATACCACCTACAAAAACCCAACCTTCAATTCCTTTCCAGCACAATCATCATAAAACCTACACTCACTTGTGCCATTAGCCACGGAAATATCAAACCCATCAACAATTCTTGACTCCATAAGCCAAGTTCCGACGAGTACAACACAACACATTCAAAAATTCTTCCTAAGAGCAAATCATACAGAGTAAGTTACAATCATGCGTAATTTCAACTCGACTGCTGGTGGAAAAATGCATACACAAAATTCAGACTTTGAATTTTGAATTCACTGCTGACTTCGTTGACGTACACGTATTGATACTGTATAAATACAAATGCAAATTGTAACACATCAAACGACATTTAATTATTTATTCGCATAATACTGAAGATACCGCTGCATCTGTAAGGCACCAAGGATTCCCGCATAAAAAAGAAGTTACTTCAAGATGAACAAATTTTCTTTTTACTAAAATAACAGATTATTTTTACTATTAAAGCTCTTAAAATAGTTATAATGCTAATAGTTCAGGGGCAACTGAAAAAAAATTTCAACATACAGTTCAACACAAAGACATTTTCCCGATAGAACAGAAAAAAATTTGATGACGACTACCTTATGAGAAAACCATGCTTAAATTTTAATATTTTCTATAAAGTATTATTTAAACTCGAAAACAGAACAAATCAAAATAAAAGATAAACAAATAAATTATGCAGTTCAAAAGATTCATTTTCTAATTTCTACTCCTTCGGAGAACCTCGATGACCAGATTTCCTTCGTCGAACAGGTTCATTCGGCTGAAAAAAAAACCAATATGTAATTTACTTACTTACTTCAAAAAAGAAACCGAAAAAAAATTAGTTGAAATCACGAATAACTTACATTAATCTGTAAGCTTTGCACAGGACTACTCGTAACTCTGATATCGCTGTTGCTTTTAAAATTCTGCATCTTCTATAAAATACCAACTTTTGCAGAATTTTGAATTAAAGATTTAAAACAACATGAATTAAACATCACAACCTTTCATACTCCTCATCCCTTCTTCTACCTAAAGAAACCGCAGAATTATGCCTTGTAAAGTTTACTTCTTCATCCGAGTCGTTCCTCAGTTTTCTTGAGTCCACACTTGGTGAAGCAAAAGACCGTTCTTCCACATCGAACCTGGGCACTGAGCTCTCATATCCGTACGAAAAGAAGTCGTTAGATGTAGAAGATGTAGATGGCCTTATTCGTTCAACAATGTTTGACTTCCCCTAAAAGTGTCCTTCACTTGAAAAAATAAAAAACTAAGATGAATAAGCAAAAGACTAAAAAACTAACCTACATCTCCATATTAATAATTTGTAAAAAGATACAAATACAAAAACCAGATACTATGAGGTTACAGATTTTTTTGACAAAAAAAGTAGACAAATGATCGATACGAAAGAGTCGATAAATGATTTGGAAAAGACTAATTCTGAAGATGAAGAGGAGGATAAGAGAATTGTTTTGACAATACATACGTTTTGCAGAGCATTCATCTTGGACTGTAAAATCTTCAATTTCGAAGTCAACCTTTTCTTCTCATCTATTAAGCCGCCACACTTTGTTTCGAGTTCAGCAACCTAGAAACACAAATACACAAAGCTGCAAAAGTTGTAAAAAATCTGCACAATCAGAAAAAAAAATCAAAAACACAGGCTTAAATAAAGAAATAGATTGAGTTCGAAAAGCATACAAAATGAAAATAAAAAAGTTGAGGTTTCAACTGCAAAAAAGATGCAGAAAATTTCGCAGGACCTATAATCAACAAAACAAATCAAGATATAATATAAAGTTAGTTGTGCGTTAAAAATAAAAAATGTATATTAAAAAGCATTCTCCAAACCTTCCGTTCTAGTCGGTTTTGCTCGTCAGTAGATTTCCTAAAGTCTTCCCCAGAATTGCTTGCAACAATAATTTGTTTAGACCCACAAGGAGAGGCTTCGCATCTTAACAAGGATACAAAATGCATTGACATATGGAACTTCTTTACAGTTAAAGCGAAGGGGTTCCTATCTTACTCCTCAATAAAAAAAACTTAAATTAAAGTATAAAAGCAAAGAGCTGAATACCGTGATTGCGACAACCTGGCACTTTCAGGAACATGAGAGCCTGCAACACTGTCCCAGCTACATGGCTCCTGCTGTCTCTGTGAAGACTTCTCTTTTAATTTTGTTCGTAATTGTTTTACCTCGTCCTCAACAGTTTTGAATTTCAATACGGTCTTATCTAGGGTGTTTTTCAAATCATTCTTTTCTTTTAACCATTCATTCCTTTCTTCTTCAAGTTTTTGGCATTTATCATCTGTCTTTTGCAGAGATTTTTTTAAAGCTTCTATCTCAACAGCATTCCCTTTTATAGCGACCTCGTAACTGTCAACAACTTCTGTTAACCGAAACTCAGTGTCTTTAAGCAACTCATTCTGTTTTTGTGAGGATGACAGCTTTTCTTCCAATGCTGCTTTTTCTACCAATGCCTCACCAAGTTCTTTCTTCAATGCTACCACCTCATCACTGATCTCCACCTGCACGGCGAAATCACCGGTGCCTCTCAGATTGTCATGATGAGCAGCCACCACAGACTTCAACTCCACTTTTAATGCGTTATTTTCACTTTCGAGCACCTTAATATCACGCTTCAGAACCTCAGATTCTTGACGAGTAGCCAAACTTCTCTTCAAATCTTCTTTTCCGCATTCATCTTCATCACAGGCGCGAGCCTTTTCTTCAGATTCTTCCTTGTCCCGTTCCAAAAGTTGATTGGATTTTTTTAGTACTTCAACTTCCTGATTCAACTTGAGTATTTCTTCTCTCAAATTCTCGACCGTAGACTCCAAACTAGCATTTTCTTCGCTCAGATTAACACTGTATTCCTCAGTGCTGTGAAGCTTTGTTTCCAAGCCCTCTAAAAGGCGCCTTAGTGACTTTTCGCTTTCTACCAAGGCTAGGTAAGACTCCTCATTTAAGTGCAATTCATTCTTAACGAAAAGCGCATGCGTTTCAAGATTCTCGCTGTTACTCAACATACACCCGTCACCAACTGTACCTGCAAAACTCGTTTCTACTGACGGTACTTGAACACTGTCTATATCTTCTTTACAGACCGTAAGCTGTTCCTTAAGCTTTTGGTAATCTGACTCAATCGTTTTGAATCTGTCGTTGCTCATAGACAACTCCGTTTCCAATGCCTCGCGAGACTTGATAACCGCGCTAAGTTCGTCGTTCAGCTTATTTACAGTCGCTTTCAATTCCTTCACATTTGGTCCGCTTCTTTCTTCATACTGTACATCTGCGCCTTGCGATTCGGAAAACAAATTATCCTTCTCTTTATCCCAGTTTTCGTCATAGCTAAGTGAAGAACCTTCGAACCGTTTTTTGTCCTGCTCCTCATTTCCTAGGTTCTTTTTTGCGGTTCCTTTGTGAATTTTTTTGAGTTCAGCCATTTCTTCTAATAGTCTCTTATTCTCATTTTGCAAAAATTCGTTCTCAGTTTTATACTCCTGCGAGCTAGCATTTAAACTGCTGCTCTTCACGACCACAACCGGATCAAGCTTTTCGCCGTCCTTCAAATGCTGCAGTTCAATCTTCATTTCATCGATAGTATTTTCAAGACCATCTATCTTCCCTTCCAGTTCCAAAGCATACTCTTCTGCAACATCCAATCTTTTATCACGTCTCTCAACTTCTTCTTGAAGTTTCACCTTTTCCTTCTCAAGCTCCTTGATTCTATCCTTGTCTTTCTTAACGATCTGCGATCCGTCACTACGGGTTAAATTATTACCAACGTTATTGACACCAACATCGGATTCCCAACCCCAGCTGTTCTCGTTGTCTTCCCAATCGTTCATAGAATCTACATCCGATGTCAGCTGACAGTTATCGGTATCTGCTACAATCCTATCGGAATCAACAGTGGTAGATAAACGATTTAATCTCTCTCGTAAATCATCGACCTCATTTTGTAACCTCAGATTCGTTTCAGCCATTTCTTCATTGCATCGAAACAATGCCTCATTATCGGCTTCCCTTGTCGTTAAACGAGCCGCTAAAATTGCCAATTGTAAATTAGAAGGACAGGGAACTTTGAGCGAACCACGACATATCATATGAGCAGCCGTAGCCAATGGCGAAGTTGAAATAGTTTCGGATAACATCGAATGCCCTGCTACTGCAAAACGTGTTTGAGTGTGTGCTTGTTTTCAAAATTTAGAATCATTTAAACTTGAACTGGGAGTTATTTACCGATCCATTCCAAGGAAGGAAACTGTATCGGTTTTCGTCATAACAAAAGGCAAAGTTCAGAGAAATCTTTCTTTAAATATTTTTTAGTTGAGAAGAGCAAAGGTCCAAAGTTCAAAATTATAAATAAAACTCAAGTCTTTTTTCAATCTTTTAATTTACCAAAGTCAACTACTACCTAGAATTTGTAAGATACGGATTAAATCCTTCCGGATCTTCGGCAAATTTTGTTGCCGGTAGACTTCTGAAATGTGAAAAAAAGTCGAAAACCTAATTGTTTTAAAAAAAAATTGGCTTTTTTTATAAATTTGCCACCATCTGAAGAGCACTAATTGAGCATCATAAAGAACACTCTAAAAGATGCGAAAATGAGAATGTCCCACAAATATTTTCTAGATGAATATCTCCCAGTTCAACGATATTTCCGGGAACAGTTCCAGCTAAAAGAATTGACAAAGCAAAACCAGACCATACTTAGTGCCCATGGGCACTATGAATTTGATTGTAATCAAAATGAGAATCCACCCTGATTTCAAAAAATAGCAAAGCGTAATTTGTCGCAAGTTAAAAAAGCATGATTTCTTGATTTTCAAACACACAGTAGCAGTCGCGGAATATCAAATTTTTGAACAAGTCAAAAAATAAGTGACTAAAAGAAAGTTCTTTATTAAAAGTTCTATAAATAATTTTAAAATAGCTTACAAGAATCCACAGCCGATAAATCCAATTCAAATTTCTCCAGCTGAAAAAAATCTTTTAAATTTATTTTTAAAGAATAAGTATTTGGGAATTTCTCACAGGATCCTCTTCTGGCTCAGAAAGTCAATTATATTTACCGCTTCTAATTTCTGTTGAAGCTCTTGGTTCTTCTCAATTTGCTCTTTCAGTGTTGCCTGCCTGGAGCTCAACATCTCTTCGAGTTCAGTAACGTATGCATTACTGGAAGGTTCGATGTTCGCATTTTTCAACTTTTCTTCGTACTGAAACAAAACTTACTCAGACTCCCAAACGAATTTCGGTCAGAAAAATCTAGTTTTGGCAGTTTACTTAAAATAATCAAGTAACATTACTTGGAGGAAACACATAAGGAAATAGTCACATTACAATAAAAAAAAATTAAAAGCACCTCTTCCAAACGTTCCTCAAGCATGTTAAATGCTGCCCTCTTCTCGTCAAGAGCTTGCCGAAGCTCCACAGCTTGTTCCTCCTTACCTTGCAAAAGTTTCTCCAATTCAGCTAAAATTGAAGGAACCCAGTCTGGCTGGTCAAAAAAGCGTTCAGCTTTTTCCGTCTGAAAATAAAAGTGAAAAAAAGAAATACTTGCTTTTTTGAAAAGCCATATTTAGCAATAAAAGAATAAAGTGAGTTTGGAATTCAACATAAAACTACATAAATTGATAAAAAGCCTACACCAAGAATCTCCAACGCGATTTTTTTCAAAGCTTCCAGCGCATCAGTTCCTTGATGCAAAGTTTCATCGAGCGTACTGTGTGTTTTTAAGGAAAAAGATCTTATATCTCTCTCAAGTTCAATACTGGCAAATTTACATGAGTTCAACAAAGACACCTAAAATCATTACCATATAGCAGCACTTATTATTCCAATGCCTATAAAACTTCAATATCAGCAGTTCATCCTTACTTTCAACTGCTCTAGCTCATTTAACTTCATATGTCTAACTGATTGTCTTAACCAGCTAAGCTGTTCCAGATACGGCGATTTACAGGACACATTCAGTAAGTCCACATCTGTCTTTTCTTCGCAATCACCGCCTTCCATTGGTCTGACTGACGAATACTGACAAGTACCCTACAAAAAAAAAAAAAAAAAGCTGCAATGTCA